GCAGTAGAGCGAGTGTTCAATAAATTCACTATATCCAATACGGCGTGAACTTACTTGTCGCGTGCATATNGCGTCTTCAGTAGCAAAACACGTTACACTGGTGTCAGAATTGTTTACGAACTTAAATACGCCACAAACTAGAACGAATTATTGTGCATCGAGTATTATACTGCCACAAAATGGATTCACAGCAGATGATGGAACTCCTGCTGAAGGAAATCAGAGATGGCCAAGAAAAAGAAGACGCCTTGCTAGAGGAAATTAGAACCAACCAAGCTAAGTTGTTGGCCATAATGGAGTCTGACCGAGAGGAATGGAGAGTCGGCCAAGAAAGACTGCTAGAGGAAATGAATGCCTGGCAGGAAGAGACGACAGCCTGCGAAGATGCAATGGACCCAAATCCAAGAGATGGAGGAACGTCTAGAAGAAGAAGAGCCAATCTCAGTCGACAGGAAACCTTAGGTGGCCCAACAATGAGAAGTTCCATAGAAGACGCCAAAGTAATGCCAGTTGGAGAACCGAAGAAGAAAACGCATAGGAACTGAAACCAGCGAAAAATGAATGAACGGACCCAGTGTCAGGATGGGTGCCGAGGAAGACTGGTCATCACCACAGAGGGACGAGTCACCGTGCAAAAGTGGCATGGAAAACACAAACTGACCAGAAGGTGTCCCACCATGCAGCAGTGGCATGATGCCTTCAAGATGGAAACTACCCAGGGAACCTTCAGATCCCGGAGAAAGGAATTGGCCATCGACAATTGTCTACCCCATCTCTGCAAGCAGCCTTATGACGAGTCTCCACCATTGCGGGAAGACCTGGAGGAACGACAACATCAGTGAGTGCAGGCCACACTGTTACATCATCAAAGGGAACTTCTCAAGAAAGACATGATCAAGGATTGGACACTATGGAAGGGTCGGCCCCCTTCGAAATTGAAAAGAAAACAACAGACAGAGGAGGAGCCGGTATCATAGAAGTACCAGCCTCCCCAGGGAGAGTGAATGAGGAGTGAATGAGCAACAGATAAATGCAAAACAACAGATCGACGAACGCTGGACCATGGAATTGCTTGGGACGAACAATCCTAAGAACGGAGTGGAGGATGTAACGGCCAGAGAATAGTCACTGCAAGAGGAGTAGCCGAAATAACAGGAGACACAGCAAGCACAGCAACGGGAAGAAAAAGGAACGGGGATGTACTGTTAGGCTGTTTGGGATGAACAACCTTTAGAAGGGAGCATTGTGACATATTTGCGCTATGCAGGACACCCGCCTCCAGCAATGATGTAACAACATCGGAGCAACTGCCACTGCTACAGTAACAGGCCAGTCAGCACTCCGTCCCCCTCCTCCACCGTGATGTAACAGCACTTCCCACTGTGATGTAACAAGGGGACACCACTGGTAACACGAGGCAATAGGGAATGGTATAAAAAGCAGGGTGAGCAGTATGTGAGCAGAGTGTGTGATCAGGAGTGACACAGTGTGGATCGTGAAGTTGCCGAGTGCAGTTGAAGTCTAGCAGTAGCCGAGAGCAGAAGTAATTTGTGATACTGCAGATGGCAGTAGTGGTGTAATTGTGAATTGTGTAATTGTGAGAGCAAGTGTTCAATAAATTCACTATATCCAATACTGCGAAAGAAAATCAAAACTGAGAAAGAAGAAATGAAGGCCGCAATGCAATCTATGCGGTCAGAGTTGGATGAGACAATCCAACATAGAATTGAAAACATTTTTCAGATCTTTAAACATGACAAACGGACTATCCGGTCAGAACTAAGAGGATTGAAAAGAAACAAGAAAAATTACAGACAGCAGAAGTGTCCCTCTGTGCACGAAAAACAAAACTCCAGGAAAACCTAACAAAAAACTACAATGAAACCTGCGCAGCAATTGAGGAGGCCAAATGTGAGTTCTGGGCCCGGATGGACGAGAGGAGCATTTTTAAAAAAGGAGAGCGGAGGTAGCGCCCTGAAGACGAACACCAGAGAAGAAAAAAAGGAACAGCGATGTACCGTTAGGCTGTTCGGGATGAACAACCTTTAGAAGGGAGCAGTGTGACGTATTTGCACTGTGCAGGACACCCCCCTTCCAGCGGTGACATAACAGCATCGGGGCCACTGCTACGGTAACAGGCCAGTCAACACTCCGATGCCCTCCCCGGCAGTGATATAAGAGCACTTCCAACTGTGACATAACAAGGGGACACTGCTGGTAACATGAGGCAACAGGGAAAGGTATAAAAAGCCAGCTGAGCAGTATGTGAGCAGAGTGTGTGATCAGGAGTGACACAGTGTGGATTGTGAAGTCACCGAGTGCAGTTGAAATATAGCAGCAGTCGCGGAAAGAAGACCCGAATGCGTGGTTAGAAGATTTTAAGTGACAGTGTGTGATAACTGAGAACTCAGCCAGTGAACACTTATTGTGTGCCTTCAAGACTTTGTGTGTGTGGTAGTACAATTATATTGGGTGTGTGTAATACAGTGGCACTTGTATAGCTCCCGTGGTGTACTGTGAATAAGTGAAGACTATTGAAGATAGTGTGAAGAGATTATTGTGTAGGGATTATAAATTGTGTAAACCTGCAACTGTGTTACAATTTGTAGGTTGTTAAATAAACCAATTAACAATCGGAACAGCATCTGCAGAGGCAAAACATGTTACAGTACTATCTTGTGTTGGGTGAGTAACCCAATATCTAATGAAAATTAACAGGTTCCATGTATATGATGAATCCAATTAATGAAACATGTCATGACCTAAAAATAAAAGCATCTAAAGAAATCAATTTGAAAGTCAGAGAGCTTGATTAAACACATAAAGATGCCAAATCCTGCAATCTGAACACCGTCTTCCTTCCTAGTATTTTACTCAAAAATGACAACCTTTCCAGATTTTCTTTCAAGAATAGCACTTATTCAAAGAAGACTGGTAAGAATGTATTCCATAAAGCAGCAGATAAAATTCCCAACAGCATTCTCTGCAGTTTATTAAGCTTTCATGCAACATGTTTATATATGGAATTTCATAAAAACACAAACTATATCAGATAAAACAAGCGAAATTCTTATTTAAACAGAATAATAACATACAATATCATAATGCAACAAAATCTGAGAAATGGTTTATGGGACACATAATCTATTTATGGTCCACTGAAAAGTAGACTTCATAATCAGTCACTATAGCTAAAATTCAAAATTTCCACCATAATAATAAACCTCTCATATCAAATTTCATGGAAATATAATCAAAAGTCAATGATGCACACATAAAATTAATTTAGTACATCATATAAAACAGGCTTTGTAATCTGTTAATGTGGCAAAAAATCAATGTATCCCACTAATGTAATGGTACAAAGAGCTCTCATAATGAATTGCACAAAAATTTGATTAAGGGTTTTTATATGTATGTAAAATTTTATTATGACCTTAAATATGGTTAAAAATCAAAATGGCAGACTAAATGTTGTACACAGATATCTCATGTTGAATTTCACTGGACTTTGGTTAACAGTATATGATACATACATAAAAGTTTGTTTATGACTCTGTGTTAAGTATGCTTTGCAATCAGTAAACACAGAAACCAACCGCCAATGAACACTATACGTACAAGGGCTGCACAATATAATGGAAACACTGCAGATACTGTACACATTTCTTTATTAATATGGTGTTGGACCTTCAATACAGCCACAATCCTTCTTAAAATGGACTCATACAAGTTTTGAACGGTCTCTAGGGAATTTTGTACTGTTCTTCTTGAAGTACATCTTCAAGTTGCTTTAGAGATGTTAGAGGTGGGAATCTGTTCCTTGCTCTAGTCCAGGGGTCTCCAAACTTTTCGAACCGCGGGCCACATTAGGTAATTCAGCACTTTCGATGGGTCGGATTACATGAGAAATTCATAACTCTAGGTATATGAGTCTTAGTGAAAGCACAGAATTTCATAAACTAAATACAAAGTACATGAGAATAAATTATCGTATATTAATGACAACAGACAGTAGCAGCAAGTGCTCATATTTTCATCACAAATTATAATAAAACAATTAATGTGAATGATGGAACTCTTTGCATTCTTAAAATCTGATTAAATTGAGGTTCAAATTTTGAAACGCTAATCACAAGTAGCGACTTTAAATGTTCATTGGATAAATTTGCCCTGTATTTCGACTTGATGTACTTCATCTGGGAAAAAGTTTGTTCACACAGATATGTCGTCCCAAAAATGGAGACAAATTTACAAGCAAATTTCTTTAAATTTGGAAATTGCTCAGAGTTCAGAAATTTATAAAATTCGATCAAATTTCCTTCCTTGTATTTATCTTTAATATGATAATTTTCCTGAAGTTCAATAATTTCCATTTGAATTTGACATCTGCAGCATCACAGTCAAACGGATTTTGATACAATCTAATTTCCTGAGCACTGGAATCCAAATCAGCAAATCGCTTCCGAAATTGTTCTTTCAAATCTAAAACATTTACTTAATGCTCCACAAATAAGAGAGCAGATTGTAAATACGCAGTCAATAAAAAAAAATCTAAAATGACTAAATTTGCAAACGAGAAAGGAAATTCTGCTTCACTCTTTTTATGCAACTCTGCACAGTACAGCATATGAACAAAGTTACAATTTTTCACTTGCCTTTCCAGAAGTATCAACTTTGCTCTGAATGCCCTGATAAGTGCAAATAAATCACAGACTAAGTTATTTTCACACTGCAACTTTAAATTAAAATGGTTCGTGTGGTTTAACAGATCAGCAAAACTGCTAATTTCCAAAGCCACTCAGTATCTGATAAAAGTGTTTTGTTATGGTTTTTTTCAGTAAGAAATATATCAATTTTATTCCTGAGCTGAAAGAAGCATGAAATAACCTTTCCACAGCTAAGCCATCGAACTGCAGTATAATATGTCAGGTCAATAAGCTCGGAATCACATCTACCAGTACTCATTGGAAAATTAGTTCAATTGGAGCATTTCTGCGCAATTCTTTCGTGGGCTGGATAAAATCACATCGCAGGCCATAGTTTGGAGACCCATGCTCTAGTCTAATCTACTCTCCAGTCTCCAAAACTGACCGGCATAGTTGAACGGTGTTCAAATGTGGTGATTGTGCTGACCAGGGAATATGATGAAATTCACCTTCATGCTCTTCAGAACATTACTGAACAGTTCCAGATGTGTAAATGGGGACACTGTCATCTTGGAAAACTGCATCATGGGATGCAACTGATTACCCAACTCATCCACATACTCCCTTGCAGTAATTCAGCCATGAAAGGTTATAATGGGACCAACAGAATTCTGTACCTTAATATTGCTGCCCAAACTATCACAGAACCTCCCTAGTGTTTCACTGTTGGAACCACACATTCCAGAGTGTAGTCTTTCTTCCCTGGATGTTCTCGAAACTTAAATTCTTCCTGATATAGGGAAGAGCATGAAGGATCACCCAACTGACCATATCACATGCACATTTCCAGTTGTCTGACGTCCAAGATTTATGGCAGTGACACCATCATATATGCATCTGAGCATTACTTTCAGTAATCTGAGGTTTAGCAATTGCAGCCTACTGTGGATGTTAGACTTGTGAAGCTCACATCGGACAGTTTTTGTGGAAAAGGGGTCTTCAAGATGAATGTTCAATTCTGCTGTCACCTGTACTGCAGTAGTTGTGTGATTTTTTTAAACAGTCCTTCTCAATGTACATCTATCTTGTTCTGTAAAGTTGATTTTCATCCACTGTTCCTCTTCACTGATGTTGTCTTCCCATGGTTCGTGTCTGCCAACATAACCTAGGGAACTGTTGCTCTCAATACACCTAATAATGTGGCAGTTTTTGTCACAGATGCTCCAGCCAAATGCGCACCAACAATCTGTCCTCTTTCACAATCGGACAAGTCTCCTATTTTCTGATTCTTTCATACAGACTGTCTCTCAACACAATAACCGGTCACTAATGCACTGACATGAGCACTACAGAGTATAAACAAATGGAAGAACATTCAGTGTTTCCAACTGGAGTTCTTTCAATGTAACCAACACAACAGATTCCATTCCTCAATTTCTTAGTGTTTACATTACTTTGTCAACCTTTGTAGATCCTGCATATCAAATTTTGCCCAGCCTGAGCAATGGTTTGTGATGTACAGAAAAAAGTTCACTTATGACCTTGCAAAAGTAAAATTTATATGAATCATTATGGTTAAAAATTCGAATTGCTCGCAATTTTCAATAAAATCACCAACATTTATCCAAAGGAAAAATCAGTTCAAGGATTAGTTGCTGATATTAGGTCGCAGACAGAAGGCTAGACATGGCTTCCACATATGGTATAGTTTTTTGTCTTTTTTATTTTGTCAAGAATGCCTAATAAGTATTATGTACTCTAAAATTTAAAGGTATATTGGGGTTTTATTGGGCCCACTGAATCCCTTCATGATTTGTGTTCTTGGCATTTGATGATGTTCAAATGGATTCAAGTTTGTGGATCATGTTTAATGAACCACAAGCAAATTAAATTAGGTTTTGTTCTACAAAAAGTCACTTCTAGAGATATCAGGATTTTTTAAAACCAATAATTAAAACGTGGCAGTGATATAATTGCACACTTCTTATAGGCACGGCTCAAATACTGAAAAAGTTCATGGGTCTGCATTGCTAATTCAGCTGTCAATTTCAATTTCTGATATGCGCTTTCACTCATATTTCATACATACCTTCACTATGACAAATTAAGATCTAAGGCATTTTGATTCAAATGAACAAGTTTGCTCAACAAACTGATTCCCCTTCACTACCTGCCTGAGGCCTCAGCAACTCTAGGCAAGCTGTCAAAACTTCACAGTCTCGCTTACGATGTTTCTCAATGCATGACAAAGGCTTGGGATCAAGGTCTGTGACTCCAACATTCATAATGTAACCACAACCATCAGTGTCTCGAACAATATGGCGGGCAGGAATGTGATTCCAAATCCTGAAATTAACCACAACTACATCAATATTACAAATCAAATCTGATACAGTGAGTAAGTATAAGTAATGCCAGTATTTCCATGCTATCCTCTGTCTCCAAATTGACACAAACATATTGAGAATTTAATGCAGTACAATATACTCTACTGAGACCCATTTTCTTTCATAATGCATAAATACAGTTTTCTTACATTCACAAAGATAAGGAAAAATCATATATAAAATTTCATACTGGATATGGCTAATCTAAAATAAACATCTTTGGGAAAGAAGTTCCTCAGATCATAAATATATTACAATCACCTTATCAGATTTTCACCATTTGGGTTAGAACACTTTCTAAAATAGAATTGTTATTCATTCTGCCAGAAAGAAGTTCAGTTGTTCTCCTTTTTCTTTGATACAGAAAAATTACAATATAGATGTTATAGCCTGTTTTCTGGGTTTCCAGCATATTTTCATATTTCTTTCATAATATTCTAATTATATTCACTGTCAAAGAGATTTTGGGGTGGAAGTTAAAGCAGCAATATGAGCCAAATGCTCAAATATCAATGAAATGAACCATGAGGAAAACGTCTAGAGGAAAGCTATATTATAGAGAAACCTGTGGGTTTAACGTACTGCATTTGCATACCTTCTTCACAGCAAAATACTTTATGGATGGAAATGTATGGGAGCAAGAATTCAGTAAATAACATATTCATTCTTCTTAGCTTTCGAACTAAATTGTTCCCTTAGCAGCCTCCGTAGTCTATGGGTAACGTTCCCACCTCATGACTCAAGATACGTGGGTTCAAACCTGGCGGAGGTCGTGGAATTTTTAAGGGTGGAAAAATTCGTGGAACAAGTCCTCCGGGAGGGACTTTAAGCCTCTGAGCAAAATTAGGTAAAAAGTTTCCCGCCCAAGTAATTTCCAATGCCTCCAGTAGATGGGGAAGGATCGGGTACCACTGCCAGTAGAANTCTTATATGTTCCTCACTTTGCTAGTGCTAGACTCACCTGCTGGGGGGGGGGGATAGAGCTATCTCTATAACAAGCTGTAGAGGCCCATAGGGTTGTGAGACATTGAGGCACATTTTCTAGAGAGTCAGCTCACAGATAGCTATGTGGCTGCTAGCCTCATGTGCTGGCCGCCCTTTTTCCCAAGAAGATTCCCGGTACTAATTTCTGTTAAAGGCTGAGTGGACCCCAGGGCCATAGTGTGATTGGAAGGATTAGGTCAACTGAAAAATCCAATGACCTCATAGGAAATCAAACCCACGACCTTCCTGCTTGTAGCATAGTGCCTCAACTAACTACACTACCCATTGCATTATGTTAAACTGAGACACTGTACCAAGTGGTGAAAATGGAAAACAACTAATAAAACTGCATACAAAGTGAGTAAAAGATAAATAATCGTAACTATACCAAGTCATGTAAACAGAAGCAAAAAAAAGTGCAATACAGACCAGTCAGCAAAGCTGCATGCCAAGTGAGCCAAGTTTTAAGTTAAAAGAGGAAACCTTTTACACAAATCATGAGAGTTGGTAGGCAGATATACATGTAGCAAAATAAACTGCAGTTGTTAACACAGTACAGAAACTGTATATGAAACATCGCTGTCTACTGGTTAAAATTCTGCTTCATACTCAGGTTCCAGATCTGAATTTCAGCCTGCAGACCAAGTGCACTGACTAGCATTTTCTGAACTTTCCTGACGCTTCATATAAAAACCCAAGAAATAAACAAACAGAATGGATACCCAGGAATACATAGGATGAATAACAGTGTAATGCATACCTGCAATCATGGTTGGGTAACCGCTGAAAGGCCAGCATGATGGAGCAGTCCTTAGCTGTAGTAGCAAGCAAATAGTGACATAGAGGAGAAAGTCCAGGTTCAGCACCAGTTCCTATACCCAGCATACTGGCAACATAGCCATAATCACTTGCTGTCAAGTTCCCTGCTCTGAGGTGATGCACATGTGTCAGAGTCCTGTATGCTTCATAAACTCGATCTGCCCCAGTTTGTTCCAGCTTCTGAATACGCAAAATATGAGAAAGAATGCAGTCAACTGGAAGAGGCTGGGCAGCCCAGTCACAAGGCGGTGCTGGTAAAAGTGGGGTCACGGCTGCAACCAGTGCCGCTGGAATTCGATCTATCAGGCCAAGACCTGACACTCTGCAACAGCTATTGCTCTCATAGCCAGCTGGTAAAGAACTGGGATTCAGGAGGCCTTGGCAACCTCTTTCTGACAGTGCAACATCGCTATCACTTTCATTATCTGTCTCACTATCACTTAGCTTCTCACGTCCCATGAGATCACAAGTCAGTGCTTCTAGCACAAGGCAGCAAAGTTTGTCCGCTAGGCTGTAAAGAAAGAGTAGCACCAATACAATATATTAAATTGTACACTGTGTTTCAGGTCATGTAGTTTATCTCATTGCTGCTACTGCTGCAAACTCCCTCTATATGCTTTGTTCTTTTAGTATATGAAGTCTTGGATAAGGCCCAGGCTAAATCCTGCATGTCATGTAACCAACAGGATTCATATAAGTCCTTGGCAGGAAGCAAGTGCTAAAAATCCAGCCAAACAAATAACCTAATTTCCATTAAAATCTTAACTATGTGCCAGCTGAAAATGTTAAATTCACTTACAGCAAAAAATGTGTGTCATCTTCAGCTCAACTGTTGGAGATGTAACACTGCACGGGTCCTTCTGGACCAATTTATCTTTATATTAATCACTGGAAATGTAACATCACCTCTCTTATTGAATTGGTCACTGAAGTATAATTTCAGGAATTTTTTCATAGCATATTCTTGGATCAGTTTTCTAAGGTGCAACAGTTCATAAACAAAAGTAAACTCTTCTAAATTAATGCTGACATAAAACTCTTAAAACCATCATCCATCTAGTTCATCACCAACACACTTCTGACAAGTGTAACTGTGCTGATCTGCCATTGGTGAACATGTATGAACCTTCACAGTGAAAATAACAGCATTCCTAACTTCAGTGTATCATATGAATTACTGTTTTGTCCTGCCATTCCACAGTCTCCCCAAGTTCATCTATGAATAGCATTCCAGCCTGTAGAGCTTAAGAAATGTCTCATGCCACCTACTGAACCCATCACTCTAGTAGATTTTACCTTGTGGGCCTCAAACAGTGCAGTACGTATGGCAAAAATATCTGAACTGCTTTAGCTAAAATTTTATTGCACAGCTGTAGGGTAAAGAGGCATAAAGCAAGCAGCTTAGTAAAGCAAAGCTGCAACTTGATAAAAAGTCATATAAAAAGAGAACAAGACCAGAAAATTTCAATAAATGCAGTAAACCCAAGAATAAAAGGCATGCTGACATACAATTCACACATCTGAGAGCATATCATGACACTAATCACGGCATACCTAGGTAGATCAGTTGCTTCAAGAGGCTCTACTGGATCACAAAACAAACTCTGCAACACAGTGGATAGGTCACTGCAAGCACCCTCCCCATACATAAGAACACCATCCTGAAAACAAAAGACAGTCATGACCCAGCATGGTACTGGAAGACCTTTCCCTGAAGGATGAAGCTGATCACTCACTTCTGTGTACAGCTAAGGTTAAAAATGCTGTTAGAACATGCACTACACCCATTAATGACAGAATGCTTAGGCATAGAAATAGTTTAACTTTTCTGTTTCCTTTAAGCAGAAAGTACAGAAACACATAACTTAAAAAATTAGGTATCTTGAAGGACTTCTCAGGATGGTGTAATTTTGACATTCAAAATATAATACATATTGTCACCTGTTTGAGTGTGACTATAGATGGGGTCTGGATTGGTAATTGCATTTATTATACTTCTAAACAATTCATCACTACATTTTACAAATCGCTATCACACATGACTGGAGTTCTCAGTCACAGTCTTCACTATACCGCTTGGTAACAACTTCCAACAGCGGACGTCCCTCTGCTTCCAGACTCATGTCCTCACAGGCTAGCAACCATTTCACTCCAACCTCCTACTCTCCTAATTGCCATCTCAGGACTCTCCCATAATGGCAGCTGATACATGTTATATAGCCTCGGCACAAACCTTACAGAAAACACCGCCTCCAACCACTCCTCCATTATTGCATGTCTCTTGCAGTGATCACATGATGGCTACTGCATCAGTGCCTAGCAATGGGCATGTCTACAGAGCCATTCCCCAGCAATGGCTGTCTCTCTGGCTCAACAATTCTTGCTTTGAGCAAATATGCCACAATATGTATTCATGGCAAAGCAAAGTATATCCAAAATCTGACAATTCAATAAAGCATTTAAAATTAACCATTTTAAAACATGCAACAATGTTGAAAACAATAGGAAACAGAGACAGGATTTATAATAAAATAAAAATAAGGATCAGAATAACTATTATTATTATCAACAGCCACCACCACCACCATTATTTTCATCTCTGTCCCTTAGTGATTAACTCATTTGAAATTTCGAATTTATTCTTCAAGTAACTCATTTGACATTTATATACCAGGAGCCAACTATAACAAGTTATATGGTCTTTATTGTTTGCATCCTGTTGTGTGTCATGATTTGTGATACTCTGGCCAGCAGCACAAAAATATTTCAAAATAAACCAATCTAGTTGTTTATATTGGTTTCATTTAATAAGTGTTACATGTTTCAGTAATGTAATGAATGTCCACTACATTACATTGGACAGACAGGACCCACATTTAAAACTTGATATAGAGAGCATATTAGGTCATAAGAACAAACAAACTTCAAAATATGCTCAACACATACTCGACATGGGACATGCAAATAATACAATCGAGGAGACAATGAAAGTGCTACAGATGAAAAAAAAAGTAAAAGTAAAGGTACCCCTGTAACAGGCCGTGAAGGCCCATAGGGTTGAGAGATGTTGAGGTTCCCACATTTTCTAAATAATCGGCTCACAGATGGCGGTGAGGTTGTCAGCCTTACGCGCCAGCCACCTTTTACACCCAGGAATATCCCTGGCACTCTTGTCTGTTAGAGGCTCAGTCGACCCCAGGGCCATAATGCGGCTGGAAGGATTAGGTAAATTGAAAAAATCCACAGAAGGGCTAATTATGAAACACACTTGAACACTTTGACATATATGATTTCAGTAGACAGAAGCTACAAATGAGTGACAGACAGATATACAAAACCCTACATTTTACCTCACAATGAAACATACTCATCATAATAATACACATTTAGAACCCCCCACCCCACCCCTCTACCCCTGGAACATCACATCACCTAAGATACATACCCACTACAACATAAACACTAGTTAGTCCATAATGAAACCAGGAAATGGAACAACACAAAAATAAATGTCCATAGGATAAGAGGTACATAACACACTCTAAAGAGACATAAGTAATAATAACACATTCCAAATTAGAAAATTTTAGAAATAAATAGCAATAAAAATAAAAGATTTTAACATTTAACGATTTATAATTAAAATTCATTCCAATACGACAACTAATAATTCACTCAATTTCATTCACAGTAAAGCTCAATTCATGACATCACATTCAAGAAGGCAAGAAGAAACATACGTATAAAAACTATAAATTACAAGAAACCAATAATGTTATATGTGAATAGTACAAAAAATATGTAAGTACATTATGTACACCACAAGAGAAAACGTATATAACCCAAAACTTAGAAATAATAATACACACGCTATTTTACTTTCAGATGAAAACATAACAACAAACCCTGGAAAATAAACACCACCTACAACACATGACGAGTAACAGAATTTTACATTTTAATGATGAGAGAATTTTTAAAAATTTAAATACCTTTTTATAATTATAGAAATAATTATATATATTNTTAAAGCAGGTGCACAAGACAAAAAAAATCCTTAATTTATGTACCTTCTGTGACAATGAATATTAAATGAATGGCTGTAAAAGTAATGGAACAAAATTACTTTAACAGATCTTCTATTTTATTTCTCTCTAATTTTTTCCAACACATAGCACTCCACACTATCGCTCCTAGGTCAGCAGTGGACGGATTAAAATTAAATATCCAAGGTGAAGATCAATCTCATTCTAATGAATTATATTCCAGAATGTAGACCCATTACTAGGTAACAACCTCAAAACAAACAATAAAACAACATCTGCTACTAGGCCACAGATTCTTAGTAAGCAAGTATATGCAGCCATTACTGAGTAATGCCTTTGCAAACAAACAGGTTCCCATGGAAATAATTTGAGCAACAACAGAAGAGTTGTGTTTTCTGTTGGTCTGTGCTGAGGGGTTATAAAGAGGACAACTGAACAAGAGTCCAGAAAGAGTTGTGGGATACTGGACACACAGTAACGAAGTGAGCGTGGAAGCTGAAGAATCACCACTGTTTGAAGCCATTACCAGGGAACAACTGGTGAAGACATAGCAGACTGAAAAGGCTTAGCATGTGCTGTAGTGATTTGTAAAGTGTGGAAATTAGCGATAGTGTTATAGTTACTTGAAGTTACGACCTGAAAGTGGTCAATAAATCCAATCAAAACCCTATCTATAGTCACTCCCTCATGTGACAATACGTATATTCTATATAATCCAGGGAAGCAAAGTACGTGCATAATACACGTACATTACAACTACCAGCTGTGAAAAATATGGCAGTGGTACAGATAATTGTTGTTGTATGGTACGGTGAAGTTGTGCCTGTTCTTAATGAATTAAATTTCTGTACGCCCTACAATTCAATGTAAGACTTTTGGTAACTATGATGATAGGACAGCACCATGTTAACAGCAACACTAGCTCAGTTAGTAAACTGACTGGCTGCAGTCTGGAAAGTCAGCAGTTAAGTTCTGGCTTGGGCAAGAATATTTTTCCTCACCCTTACAACCAAAAGGCTCTGGTATTCACTCGGCCTCCTATGCAATGGATACTGGAGTCTCTCCTAAAGCAGGGTGGTGAACAATTACTTTTATCTTGTGCCATGGCCCAGAATGTCTCAGCTTTACATGGTGTTTACACAAAAGGGCATAATGACAGGATGGTTATGAACTGGTGAGATGTTTCATGGTGTATTCAAATCTAGGATCATGAGACTAAAAAGATTTTTAAAAAATGTATGCAACTGTCAACCAAAAATGGAACTGAACACAAAATGAACTTAAATTGAGATAAGATCTCCATAAAATCATACACAAAAAATAAACATACCTTGAAGATTTTAAGATTATTCTGTGGAGTTGTAATCAAGGCCCGGATGGCTTTCATCATTCTTGAATGATTCCTACAAAGAAAACAGACAAAAAATTGTATATGTTGCTGTAAAGTAAAGCTATCCCTGTAACAGACCATGGAGGCCCATAGGGTTGTGAGATGCTGAGGTTCCCACATTTTCTAGACAATCGGCTCATAGATGGCGGTAAGGTTGTCAGCCTTACACGCCGGCCGCCCCTTACCCCCAAGAATATTCCTGGTACTCATTTCTGTTAGAGGCTGATTCAACCCAAGGGCTATAGTGCGACTGGAAGGATTAGGTAAATTGAAAAAATCCACCTCATCGGAATTTGATCCCACGATCTTTCAGCTTGTAGCATAGTGCCTCAACCAACTATGCTAATGTCTGTCCCTTACAGCAGCACATTTCTGTGTTATTTAACTGCATTATAAACCTGTATTTTTGAACTTCCAGTGCATTCTACCATAAAGGAAGCATGGTGTAGCCTAACACACTCACCCTGAGAAGAGGTCCAGAGGACAATACAGACTTTGGCTACGAATGCTGCCGTTCTTCAGCTGAAAATAAAAATGTTGTCTACATCAGCAGCTTTGTCATAGTCATCATTATAGCAATTACTATCAGTACTACAGAGGTTATTATTTCCATTTTAATGTACTTTAGTAAGTCACTTTTAGAATATGGCACAAGCATGTATTCAATACATACACATGATACAGAAATGTATACACCATGATAGTTTTTAAACCACATTCTGAAATATTAGCTGATCCTCTGAGGTTTTAAAAATATTCAAATAAATGTCTTCTTACCTTGAGATACTGATTAAGGCAGAAGGTACATTTGGGCAAGCGCCGATCAGGAGCAGGTACCCACCCCTGTTTGGGTTTCACTTCCACACAGAATGTAGGCAGAAGTTCAGATGTGGGAGATAAATTTGGTGGTATACTTAAGTGTACTGGAAGAAGTGCATAGTCCGGATACACAGTGACGTAGCCAAACTGCAGACTCTTGTGATGTCGGTGGGCTGAAATATAGACGTTTTTAAATACTCTGTTTGTATGAAATATTTTATTATCCTCTCTACTTGCATGTATTTCAGAGCATATATTACTTCTCAATTAATCCACTTAGTTGTCGATCATTTGAAAATAATTTTATTTCAGGTGATTCATTTGCACTGAGGATTTCAAACTTCTGCTGTTCTTTAAATCATATACATTCTTAATTCATGCAGAACAATTGTATTTTATTATTATTTTGTTTATTGTATCTGTAGCTTATTTAACAACACTGTTAGCAACTTTAGTGTTAAATGATTGGATAATAAATAGTTAAGGCGTAACTTAAACATTTGCTTCGAGATTGAGCCCAGGATAGTCAGAATTCCAACCAAGGTTTGAACCCGGCACCTCTAAGAAGAGGGACTGCTTCAGGCAATTCGATCACTAGTTCTACTTCAGTCCATATATTTGTGCTGAATGTAATCTTTGAGCACCTGGATTTGTTTGTTTACGTGTGCAAGACAAAGGAATTAAAAGCTTTAAAAGACCAAGCACATTCTAATATATCTAAATTTATCTGATAAAACTTACAGAGTGAGGACAACCCAGTCTGTAATAGTGACTAGACTATAGGCTGGGCGACCTAACAATCAGAGTTCTATCCCAGAACAGACAAGAGATTTTTTTCCTCTCTCCAGCACTCACATTGGTTCTGGGGCCCACCGAACCTCTTACTGGTACTTCTTCTTTGAGGTTAAAAAGGCTGAGGCATGAACCTGTCCATTTACCTCCACCTACTGCTGAGATTAGGATGTGTATCTGTATTTCCCACGACTTATATGTCTTCGTATGTTAATTAAGCACAGGGACAAATTTACCTTTTTATCCAATAAAAGTTAGGAACATACTCTGAATGTTCCTACCTCAGAAGTCAGCAGAAGCATGCTGGACTACCAAGATAAGCTGCCCCTCAGTGGCATGCTCCTTATAGAGTCTTACAAAAATCGTGATCTATAATTATTATTACAGTATTACAACAACATTATATTAATGTCTGATTTCAAAACGAGACACACTGACAGATGGGCAGGTTTGTGCAGCTCGTTTCGACTATGTTTATAACAAATCGCACCTCCAAATTCACAGCTTCCCTAGAAATGTTAATCAGATGAAAAAGTTCGTTTCGAGCTGTCTAGAAATTCTCGGCAGACCGCGTAAAAAAAGCCTCGACAAAAGCAGCATATTTTTCTTCAACCTACAGCCACGAAACGCTCATGATCATGTGCTGATTATCGCTGGTGTTGCTGTCAAGTCTGCCTGTAATTCCGTCCAGTCCGTCACATGTTTATCCTTCTTGCATTGCACGTCTGACCAATGTGGCTCAAAGCCTCCCATTTTCCGGGCTTTGGAATCTGTTTTACAGACAACTGGTACGATTTCCTGGGCGAGGGATCGGGCCGTTGCAAGGCCTCTACTTATGTAGGACTACACAAACATAGAAAAAAGCGGAGGCATACATCCGTGCCAGTGCGAAATTCAAACCCATGCCCCCAATGTTCGAGAAGCAGAAGGCAGTACACGCTTTACATTGCCTAAGCAGTATGATCGCCATTTTCTCGCTAGCTTCCGAAATATGCAGCAGCACTTATTTCTCATAGCCATCTCCACCTGTGGTCATATCTGTTTACTACAGCAAGTAAAGTCTCTCCGAAAGTTTTCTTCCGAACTGTAAGCGGACAACAGTTCATGTTTCACTGTTTCGCTGACGAACCTCAGAGAGCATAAATCACACGGCGACACTGCCTACAGCAGAAGTCCGACGAGTCCGACCACATGCTGAGTCTGACAAATAATAGGATTGATGGTTCTGAATAACACTGACAACGCTAATGTTGAACCACGTAACTACATGAGCAAACAGTTTTGTGTCAAAGAGTTGTTTGGACTTCGTTTGTTCTTTGGTAACAGAAAAGATACTTGCTCAAGACTTTCGGTAAGGCTGTTGGAATAATCCGATCTTGTAAGAGCCTGCGAGAGAGAAAAAAAAGTAATTGGGTGACGAGACTTGGTTCTTCCAGTAAGACCCACAAACAAAGACACCAAAATCATTAATGGAAGAGTCCAGTCTCCGGGACCGAAAAAAGGTGCAACTGCCAAAATCATGCTGAGCTGATCTAATTTTTTGATATCAAAGATATTATCATTAGGCATTTGTTCCAACAAAACATTCTAAAAGTTTTGGAGAGTTCATGTCAGCTCATCTCCTGACAACGACGAAATCGTTGGCCGTAGATGTGGATTTTGCATCATAATGAGTGCCTAAATATCTATTGTACTGGTCGGACTTGGCCCTATGTACTTTTATCTTGAAGATAACCGTTTTCTGGTACCCGAAGATAGAGGCAGGTCCCCTCGAAACTTCGGTAAACTTCTACCAAAAGTCACGGTGTCACAGCCTAGAATATCGCACTCTCCATAGTTATTGATGTGAAGACCTCAAATCCAGCATACGTACACTGCGTTCCTACATACTGGAAGTACGTGCACCACGTCAGGTCTCCGTTGGCAATTCAAACAAATACGATTTCACGCACGATTTAGCAGTGACCAGTTCGTCTGCCAATCAAAAGCTCTAAATCCTTTCCCACACAGGGGCCGGTATCAAATGCCGGGGTAAATATATCTCTGTGAATTTAATTTTGGTTCGTCTCAGACCATTGGAGCTCCTGCATTTACATGAATCTGAAACGCCTATTTAATCATTTTACCAAAAACGGTTCACCCTTCAGAAAACTGTTATATGGTATAATTCTCATCAAATATTTTGGTTCTGGTGACAAACAAAATATCAAGAGTGTTTAAGTTATGCTCGAGCCTTGAGAACAAAGCTGATTTCCAGAAGTCTAAGTCAGGAACCCACCGGTCACGATAGCCGAGCGGTCTAAGGCATGCACTGTCTTCGCTCGATCAGAAGCCGGGATCGCGGGTTCGAATCCCACTCAGGGCATGGATGTTTAGTTTGTGTGTGTGCGTTTTTCTGTGTTTGTGTACAGGTAGAGGCCTTGCGACGAGCTGATCACCCGCCCAAGGAGTCCTACCGAATGTGTAAGATCTAGAAAAACCGAAGTGAACGGAGAAGATCATGGAGGTAGGCCTGGGCCCACTCAGGCTATAGTGCCAAGGAAAAAAAATTGAGTAATCAGCCCTATGTTCCAAAGTGGGAGCAAGAGGAGAAATACGTCAGGCACTCGGAGGCGGTACGGTTGTTCTAGTTCACCGGGGTCTGATCTGCATCATCAGGTTAAGGTCCGGAAAGCTATTTGGCACATTCTGTAAAGTGCATACTGTGAGTCAATTCTTTTTTAAGTGACGCAAGATTATACATAATGTACGTACTGCTGCCAAGTTTCAGTGAAAAAACCGTGGTGATATAGTTAAGTAAGACATGTACGAACTGCAGAAAGCTGTCGTTATCCGCTCTGAGATACAGTTCCGAAAAAATTAAGAATGCAAAAAAGGACATAGAATACGTGGCCATGGGTGCCACCAGAACTTTTCCAAATGTGAGCAGAGCAGATCAAAAAAAAAAATCTATGTAAGATTTGAGGTTTTCACGGCAGTGACTATGAAGAAAGCAGTCTTCTGGGATGTGACACCGTGTAGATGTGGTGTTAACAGACGTTTCGGAGGAAAGTATCGCCTCCATCTTCAGGTACAAGCAGTCTGCTTGTACCGGTTCTCACGGTCTCCTCGCTTGCGGATTTCTTATTTTTCCTTCTACCCTTGGAGGTGATACGTTCCTCCGAAACGTCGATTAACACCACATCTACACGGTGCCACATCCCAGAAGACTGCTATCTTCAAAAAATCTGCTTACCAACTTAAATTTAAGCCTTCATATAGAATATTTATATTATAGTTTCGTCAACAGTGCAAACACTTTACTCCTTAGAATTTTCACTTTTTACAACATGTTTCGGCCCCAACCGGCCATCATCAGGTACTTCGATTCGCCAAAACTGTTACCTTCAACGAATATCGGTCATACATATCATGTGTGACTGCATTGTTCTATATTAATGTTGCAGTTAAATTTAAGCCGTTTAACAATATTGTTCCAGATCGCCCTAAGAGTTGTGGTCCACTATAATGAAAAACTGACGACGCCACAAACAACTGAATTTGTAATTCTCTCTTTTTTTTTAATTTTGATTTTCTAAAAAAAAAAATCCCTGGGTGGGTGGCAGAGATGCCTAATTTTCCCCACTCCATGTACACAGCCGTGCCTGGAAACTGAAAACAGAAACCCTCCAACTGGGCTAGTCCAGTGTGTTGTGAGCTCCAAAGGAAGGTAAGTATACCGTACGGCTTGCCACCGAATCAATACCGCTGTTTGTTTTTAAGTCCCGCGCTGCCTGGCAATAATCAGTTTCCCTGCTACAATTGATTTGCCACTGGCATCTGAATTCTGAATAATTACTGCAATTCAATTTAAAGCTTCAGGAAATGTAGGCTGTTTATACAGAATCAATTGGAAAGAAAAAATATGATTGGCCTTCCTAGGAAATAAAATATGAAAATTTAACTTATACTAACTAATACGGCCTGTTAAAAGGTACATACAAGCCCTGAATTGCTGCTGTTGTTGTTAAGATTACTGCGAGATGTGACATTTCCTGTACATTTTCACCAAGTCAATATTCGTGGAAACGTCTACCCATTTTTCATCAGGGTAATCACAGAGAACTATATACTAACCCCTTAACAGGGGCCGCGCCATATCTCAAGCAGTTAGTCGCTGGCTTCCCACCGCGGCGGCCTGGGTTCCTTCCCGGGTCTGGTCAAGTTGGATTTGTGGTGGACAAAGTGGCGCTGGGGCAGGTTTTCTCCGAGTACTTCGGTTTCCTCTGCCAATCTTCATTCCACCAATTGCTCCACAGTCACCCTCACCTATCATCTGGGGCTGGTACAATAGGCCTGAAGTGGCAGCAGTACAAGGGACTTAGTCCCACCCAACTAGCCAAAAAAGAAAAAAAATTAACAGCATTCTTCCTCATAAATATTATAAACTGTTCGTGGCACATTTAACGACGCTGTATCAACTGCAGAGATTCAGCGAATACAGGCTTTTCCAGTGACATTTTACAAATGCGACAACAAAAGATAATTTGATACCGTGGGCGGTCGAAGCTCATGTCCACTGCATACTCGGTAAGTTAAGTCTGTGCTCTATTTATTCTTCTTCATTTCAAACTATTTTCAGAAGTGACAGGCGAATAGCTGTACACGGAATTATCAATTTCAAATTGTTACGAACATAACTTTCCTTAAGGACGTAACACTGTGTAGTCTGAAACGTTCTGCCTCCGACTTCTGAGAAGGGTTAAGATCACATTAGCACTTCTGCTTCCTTGCTGGCATTACTTGCGCTGCAGTTGTCTCTCCCTGTCTCTCCGCATCGCCTTAGTATCGCGCCTTGGGTGGGTTCTTGAAAGACAGAACAGAGCGAGACACTTGGCATTTCTTCCAACAAAGGTATCTCCTCTCTGAGCAGAAGATATCGTCGTGTAAATGGATGCTGCGCGTAGGCCCTTATTTTCTCATGATGAATCCACATAGTCTGCTCTCATAATGAGGGCACATTGGCCGTCTTTTGTCTCTGTTGGCCTCAGACGCGGCATAATCTGCACTGAGTGTAGATATGCCACATTAGCGCTGTAGTTGTCGGACGCCAGCTCATCTGTGGCTGGTTGTGTTTGTAGTGGCCGCTGGTTTGGGGGCTGCAGCTGCTACAGCGGTCTAAATAATTCGGGAGCAAGGCTGCAACCAGCAGGTGCCTGGAGACGAGTATTGTGCTTCCTCCGCGGCAGTTCCCCATTAGTGCAACTGCTTGGGTGCAGCAGTAGCAGCACTTCGTTACCCTGGGACCGCTGTCTTTTGTCAGAGCACTCCTGGTGGCCAAAGCCACCACCCCAACAAAGAAGTCTTGGGGCTACTTGCAGTGGACACCCACATAGCTAAAACGCTGATGGATATAGCAGGGCGTAGACCAGTCTGCGCCCTATAACAATGTTGCGAGAGTAGGTAGGCAAACGTGAAAATTGTCTGCGACTTTTGGCTGGGTGCCAGAGTCACAAGGTAGCGGAGACGGGGAAAACGCAGTCATTGGAAACTCAGACGAGGGGCCTTCGTCATTTGATTGACGCTTACGGCATCAAATCCCGCCTCTTGCATTGCGAAAGGAATGGATATACTCTGAAGAGGTATTCACAAGGAAACGTCTGACACTGCCTTTCAAGTTTTATCTAATTATTTTCCTTCGTACGTTAGACATGCTGTTGTAAAAAAAAACTGTGGCCTATAGTCCGCAAGCGCACTATACCGACCGAGCGACCGCCGCTTGTCGGCGAAGTTAGTGCCAACTTTTGAGGATAGAGGGTGTCACGTGGTCAACGCAACGGATCCCCAGAGCCATTATTCTCGGTTTTCTATACCGGAGCCGCTATTTCATTGAAGCAGCTCCTCAATTATCCTCACGAGGCCGAGTGGGCCCCGTTTCAGACCCATTACTAATCAGAAAATCTGGTAGCGCCGGGAATCGAACCCTGGACATCTGGACCTGTAGCAAAGAATTCTGACCACTAGACCACAGAGGCGGTCAGATCAGTAACACAAAACAGTACGAAAAAGGATATCTAAGAGATGACCAACAATGCTGTGCAATAAAATGTAGTATCGCGTAACCTGGAAGCCATTTTATTGGAAACCTTAGATCAGTCACTGGATGGACATTTACCCCGGCACATGTCACAAACATAGAACAGACAACACAGCAGAATAACCTATAAAAACAATGAACAAGGCAAGCTGGAGAGGGGGCATCTGTCACTGAATCGTCAGCTCTGAGAGGGTGGGAGACGCCGAGAGGTCGCGACGGCTCCGGCACCGAAACGAGGACCATTTTACCGCCTGACGGCCTCCACTGAAATATATACCGGTGGCTCAAAGATGTTCGTTAACTCCGTCGTGACTCACCCTGGGACGAGCTATGCAGGAACCCCCCTCCCCCGCGGTGTCGTAACAAGGGACACCGCGGTTACTACGTGGCAACAGGCGACTCCGTGCAGAGACTGTTGCTTGGTAATCGGTAAACATGACGTCACGCAACAGTGGTAGCTATGACGTAACTGTTTTCTGTATTGTCAGTGCGGAAGCTACATAACGAGGAGTATTCGTCAGTGTAACCAAAGTTATTAGAGTAGTGAATATTGAGTTACTAGAGAGAGAGTTACTAGTAACCAGTATCCAGTATGAACTGAAGTCCAGCCGCGCCGAATTCAGTTGTATCGAGTGCATGGCAGTGACTCCAGCAGGAGAAGTAATTGTGATACTGCAGATGGCAGTAGTTGTGAAACTGTAACTTGTGTAATTGTAGGAGCGAGTGTGCAATAAATTCGCTAAGATTGAAGACGGCATGAAGTTATTTGTCGCGTCACATACCCAACACGTGACAATATATTCAGGATTTTCCATATTCTGAGACTAACTGTATAAATTACGTACTTTCTTGAGAGGGGGCCACGGACTCAATTCTGAAGAGAATCAATTCAGAGGAAGGCATCGAGGTCAGCAGACCAACTCAAGCAGGCAGCGAATTTCTTAAGTAACTGCATTATGCAGAGAGCGTAATAAATCTGTTTATGGCGAAAAGTGAATTGCGTCAATCTACTCTCATGTTCCAGATTTCATGAACAGGAGGAAAGTTACCAACCTGCAGAGTTTAATATTCTAGGATATAACGACGTGTAATCCGTTGAAAGCCAACCGACGTTTCCGAGGAATGTCGTCCGATCTTCAGGGTCGAAGAACAAGCCATGCAAGAAACCAGTGTGAAGCAGGCAGAAAGCAAACACTTCTCTCTGAAACATCAGTTGGCTTTTCAACGGACTACACGGCGTTATATCTCGGATGATAGAACTCTTCATAACCACCCCTGTGAGAACCTCAAATCCTACAAGTTACTACCATAACCCAACAACTGGGGGCACGTGGTTGCGCAGCTGGTTGAGGCACTATGCTACAAGCCGGAAGGTCGCGGATTCAAGTCCCGATGAGGTCACTGGAATTTTTTTTTAATTGATCTAATCCTTCCAGCCGCACTATGGCCCTGGGGTCGACTCAGCCTGTAACAGAAATGAGTACCAAAAATTTTCCTGGGGAGTAAAGTGCGGCCGGCGCGTAAGGCTGACAATCTTACCACCATCCGCGAGCTGATTGTCTAGATAATATGGGAACCTGAACGTCTCAAAACCCTATTGGCCTCTGAGGCCTGTTACAGTGATAGCTTTACCTTTTTTACCTTTTACCTAACTACTGTTGGGCCTCCTCTCCTAGGAGACAATGAATAAAACCAGTAGGCCTAGTTAGCCAACTCCACCTGACGGGATGTGTCTGAAGCAATTCTTGTAAGCGTGATGGTGGCACAATACCATAGAATATGACAGTGCCGTCCTGTGTCACCCTGTGTCAGTCCCAACTGCAGGTGTGACAGAACACACAGAAGGTTACCTGGCCGTTGTGTCCGCAAGATCTGGTCCAGGCGCCTCACTTCTGCTCGGTCCATGCACGCAGCAGTGGGGGGTTGGATGTAGCACTCTCCCAGAAGGGGCACCATGACGCCCCTGCAGAACACAGCCTCGCGCCACACGTGCTCTCGCTCCCTTTCTCCCAGTATGTCCTCCCCCTCGCTCCCATCGGCCCCATCACACTTACGCAAACGCACAATTCTGCGTTCCTGTTTACGAAGAGGAAAAACTGTTGAGTCATCAAGGAAAACTATACGACCGCTCCTGGAAACTACTAGGAAAAACCACAATCCACATACTACTACTACTACTGCTAATAATAATAATAATAATAATAATAATAATAATAATAATAATAATAAATTTAAAAAGTTCAACCCCTTTTTAAGACTACCTACCTACCTACCTACCTACGTACCACTCGGCGCTACAGCTCTGGGTGAGCCTTGGCCTCCTCTACAACCAGTCCCCACAACCAATGCGTGCTGCCATAGGAATGGACCCACGCATGATGACATGAGGCCGGTTGTTAGGTTTCTGAACAAATTTCTTTTTACAGGATGAGGTTGTTAGCCTCATGCCCAACCCCCAACCTGGAGGTATTTTAAGACTAGAACTCCATAATTTTACCTTATTGCAACATGAACTAACAGTGTAGTCTTCACTGATCCAACTACCGAAAGAAAACTGCAACCAAATAACCAACCCACCCCAGGCCGCGCCATAGCTGAAGCGGTTAGTCGCTGGCTTCCCTTCGCGGCGGCCGGGTTCGATCCCGGGTCTGGTCAAGTGGGATTTGTGGTGGACAAAGTAGCGCTGGGGCGGGTTTTCTCCGAGTACTTCGGTTTCCCCTGCCAATCGTCATTCCACTAAATTCTCCATTATCATAATCACCCGGGACAGGCTACAATAGGCCAACCAGTAGCCGCCGTGCCAAATGGACCCAGTAGGACTCCATCCCCCACTAAGCGAATTTAAAAAACCAACCCACCCCAGCTCTATTTGGCGAAGAGTAGAAGCTCATTCTGTAATGTTACTCCTCAAGTCCAAACACCTTACGCAGACACGCTGAATCTATTGAGATGCGGCTCTAGTATGAGAGACTATACGTTTCACACCCATATTTAGCAATAGGTAAAGTTACAGTACTGTGTTTTAATCTCAAGATAATATTTAATAAATTATTGTCAAAATAAAACTGTTTCTAGCACGTGAAATTGCTGTCTAGGACATGTTTCGACACATGTGTGCCATCTTCAATTTCGGTTTTAGTTACAAACATATCATGTATTTAGCGTATTTTTTCCATGTAAGCCGAGTGGATCCACGGGTGTGTTATACATTACATATACCACGTACAGATTATTATAATGGGGTGGCTTTGAATCTGCTGCGTAACACTGTAGATATTTTCCTTAAATTGAATTGAACTGAAGTGAACAATAGTGTCAACAAGAACTCAGGCCAGGCCGCACCAAGAACAGTGGAACCAGAAAATGTGTGGACAGAGAGTGTGTGTTCAGTGGCGCACACACGTACACACAGAATCACTTCAGCGAGATAACTACAATGTTAACCAACAGATAAAAACCCAATCCATTATAGTATACATGGAGTATAATGCACCAGTAGAACCAATCGGCTTACATGAAAATTTACGCCAAGTACAGGCTACAATAATTACTAAAACCAGACCTGAAGATGTCACACATGTGCCGAAACATGTCGCCCTAGACAGCAATTCCACCTTCTGGAAACAGTGTTGTGTTGATAGGAATATAATACGTACAGGGTGAATCGTATAGAACCGGCCCGATGAATTTGCTAATAATTCCGCAGGTGATGCATATAACCGCTCACAATGACGACATAATAATCCGTGGGCCGTGCGGAGTCGAATGGTGTGCGCATGATCCGGCAAGTGGCAGTCCTTATGCTGCAAGGTCAAGGACAATGCCGAAACGTGTCTGCAGTGGGCAGGCGACAGTCATGGAGTTCACTGTTGAACAGCGAGTGTTTCTAGTGCCTACTTGAAAACGGCGGACACTTTCAACACCTACTCTGATCACGGCACACAATCCAAGATAAGATATGTGTAAATTACTTTAATATCTGTATGGTATATTTTATATTACACCTCATTTCGTCGGGCCGGTTTTATATGAATCACCCTGTATTATCCATAGTCATTTACGAAACAGGATGCAACAAAAATTGAGTATTTTAATCTACCTTCTGTGTGAAATAAAACACTAGTTTTTGGTATGGATGGTTATTAGCACCATCCCCAATAATCGTCTACCCCAAGTCCCTTGTACCTGTAGGCTGTAGAGCCAACAGCCGTACGTGGAAGTCGCCTGCCAAAGAAGCTGCAGATCGTTACGCCTGGGGGGACCACGTGACGCTACATAACCTCTGCAGCCGATACGAACTGCGGCCACCTTCCAGTGCGCTCATCTCTGTTATATCTCGATACATGCTGTATTAATTAACTGCTCGTTTGGACATCCTGTCATTTATTTTCCAAATTTTAACAGAGATAAGCACTGCATTATACTGCGGCATATCCGCTGAGAGCCGAAATAGTTTAATCAGAAGAGAGACCCCCTGCTAGGCAATGGCTCCATAAATGTCACGTGAGGGCAGCCACGCTTACATACACAGCAATATAAGGACTGCTTAAAGAGGTGTTTTCCATGCCGTCTGCCCCCACGGCCACGCCACACCGTAAAAAAGCTACAGCAAAAGGAGGTGTTTTCTTAAAATATGGTCGCGAGTCCCAAGGGACTCGGACCCGAGAAAGACCGCGCTGGCAAGAACGAGTAATATATTGAAAAGACAGATCCGTCCTCTCGTCAGAGAGGGCGCCCCACAAAAATAAGACCGTAACTGTCAAACGGTAATAATTAATATTTGGTCATGAGCCCCAGATGGGGATCGACACCAAGACTGACTGACTGACTGACTGACTGAGTGACTGACTGACCGTCAGTCGCAATGTGACTTTGACTTAGTGTTTTCTGTGCTGCCCGTACTGAGGCTACATAACTCAGAACGCGTCAAGTAAGATAAATATGATGCGTTTGCAAGGCCTGGACTGACAGAGGACTTGTATATAGTTCATAATGAAGAATTTTCAGCAACATGCTATATGCGCGAAACGTACATATGTAAAAAAAAAAAAAAAAAGTAAAGCTATCCCTGTACCAGGCCGTCAAGGCCCATAGGGTTGTGAGACGTTGAGGGTCTCACATTATTTAGTCAATCGGCTCAAAGATGGCGGTAAGTCTGTCAGCCTTACGGGCCGGCCGCGCTTTACTCCCCAGGAAGATTATTTAATTACTCATTTCTGTTATAGGCTGAGTGAACCCCAGGGCCATAATGCGGCTGGAAGGATTAGGTCAATTGAAAAAAATCCAATGACCTCATCGGGACTTGAACCCGCGACCTTCCGACTTGTAGCATAGCCCCTCAACCATGTACGCTACCGCGTGCCCCCGAAACGTACATATGACAAAGACGAAGCCTATTGGACGAGACAAAACCATCCATTCGTCAGAGCGGATGTTACCTAACGACTATGACCGCAAGGGTTCAGTTACAAAAAGAAACTCTTCTGATCAAGGGGCTTGGCGCCAAGACGAACTGATTGGCCGTAAACCGTCAGTCGTAAACTAGCTCTGACTGTGAATTCATAAAAGCAGCGCGTGACTTTTCAGCCTCTATAGCCTCGGTATACAGGAGATCGGCTAGAAGAGCTACAATTTTAGACCGCAAATAAGCAATACCTGGCCTAGATCGTGCATTAAATCAAAAAATAAAGCTCAGCAAATTACGCCAAGAAACCAGGGATCCAGCAAGGAAAACTGCAGTAAACCGAGTCACTCGAAATATCGGGAGAATGGTCGGGAAAAGATCACTCAAAAGGTGGGAAACAACGTTGGCAAACTGCGAAGTCATATTCAGGTCTATTGCAAAAGCTCTCTCAAAAATGGGTTGACCAAATGCACCATCTGCAATTCACAGTCCTTCAGGCCCCACACGAGTATTTTATCCAATCGACAAAGCCAACATAACTGCAGACGGCTGCTGTGTTCTTGGACATCGAGAAAGTCTTCGACACAACATGGCACTCGGGCCTACTATATAAATTGTCGGAATAAGAATTTTCGATAAGTCTCATTAAGCCAATTGCTTCTTTTCTCACTGACAGAAAAAATTAAGCCATGGTAGAAGGCAAATTTCCTACACCAAGAAAAATAGCAGCAGAGGTGCCTCAAGGTTCCGTCCTTGTCCCAATATTGTATAGTCTACAGAAAAACGATCCCCGTGCGGCATCTGGAACCCATCTTGCTCTGTTCGTGGACGATACCTGTATTTACGTGACAGAAACACGAATGTCGTGTACTTTGCAAATTGCAGCGCCGCCTCACTGCAGTAAAGTCGTTGTGTGAGCACTGGAACATAAAGATCAATGATGGGAAAACTCAGGCTATATATTTCTGCAGAAGTCTTAGGGTCCCTGATGACGTATTACAACTGAACGGACGAGACATTCCCTTTGTAAATAATGTAACGTGTCTTGGCGTCACTTTCGACAGGAGGATAACATGGAGACGCCATATCGAAAGGACTGTAGCCAAGGCTTTGCGCACGTACGTAACGGCCTATTCCCTGTTCAAAAGTGGGCGTGTAAGTACAAATATTAAACTTACGCTTTTTTTTTTCATTGGCGCTACAGCCCTCGTTTGGGCCTAGGCCTACCTCCATGAAACTCTCCATTTCACTTCGGTTTACTAGATCTTAGACATACGGTAGGACTCCTTGAGCGGGTGACCAGCTCGTCGCAAGGCCTCTACCTGTACACAAACAAAGAAGAACGCACACAAACATCCATGCCCTGAGTGGGATTCGAACCCACGATCCCGGCTTCCGAGCGAGCGAAAACAGTGCATGCCTTAGACCGCTCGGCTACCGTGACCGGCAAACTTACGCTTTACAAAGCTCTAATTAGGTCAGTTATGGTTTATGCATGTCCCACCTGGGAGTATGCGGCGGACGTTCTCCTCTTGAAACTGCAGCGCCTGCAGAACAGACTACTCCGCGCTATCGGAAATTTTGACAGGCGCACACCAGTTCGCGAAATGCACGTGGCTTTCAAAATTCCTTACGCGTATGACTACATAACTAAACTATTCAGGACATAGGC